TGCTAGCAGGAGCTTGGCTTTCGTGGGCTGGAGGAAGGTTGTCTCCAAAAGACCTTGCTGGTGGTGGTGTCACAGTTGCACATCACCAATACTATGCAGAGCAGCTACAGGTCCTGTCTGAGTCACTCTGGTTATATACCATGTTCTTGCTATTGATTTTTCTGAATCTCTGCCTTTCTTTTCCCTTCTTGCTTCAGAGGAATCCCAGGAAGGTGAGAAGTTACTGGCAATCAGTTTTCTTTACTCGATTGACTTTTTCTGCTGCCTTCTAAGAGCCACTTTTCCTAACAGCTGAATTCGTGTTTTAGGTGTTTTCCAAACTCTTTGAAGTCCTTAGACGCCGAACGATTCGCCGTGCTCTTACATCAGTGCCGCGACAGCGACTCTCATCCAACAATAACAAGAAGAAAAACTAGCCAGTATTTTTAACTTTCTTTCTGTATCTGAAGTGTTCACACTTACACATATAGGACAATAAGCTGGACCGTCTGGGCCGGTCTGCATAAATGCTGTAACCATACCAGACTGATGCTGCATATAGGGTATGGAATTGCACATCCATCTTCTAGGAACTGTAAAGTGGTTTGAATTCAGTGAAATACTGCTGTATAGGAGGGATATCACTTGTGTCCATCGCATGTGACTGATTTAACCTCATTACTGTAGCAGCAAAACTCATTTCTCTTTCAGTTCATGCCAGTTTGTGTCAGACTTCAGCATTCTAAGTTTGTTTTTTTCTTCATTATTTCAAGTCCCATCTCTTTGTATGTTTTTATATTTTATTTTCCTTGGTTACCTCATATTTTTTGTTTCTTTTGCACGTTTCTCATTCCACAGGTGTTGAAGCCCATGAGTGATAATTTGATGGAGGATCATATGAGGCAGTCTGTAAAAAACTCTATCAAAGCAGGCCTGACCGAGCAGGTGTCTCACCATGCCAGACTAAAGACAGACTGACAGTTCATCTCCTCTTCAACTCTGCCCTCTCATCCTAGACATGCTTGCTGTACCATGAAAACTCAAAAAAAAAAAAAAAGAAAATAAATAAAAATAAACCAAAGTTTACAATCAACTGTAGAAGTAGTTTAGTGTGACTGGCTTCACAGATTGCTGCCATCACCTGGGAAGAGTAATTTGTGAGTGCTCTGCTTCTAAGACAAACTGGTGCCATGGAGAGCGCTGGGGGTGGGAGGGAGGGTGTCCGTTTTACGTATAGTCCTGGTGAACTGTGCACGTGTGCGTTCGGGGGGTGTGGGGGGAGGCATCTTCTCCCAGTGTTTGAGTTGATGCAGTCTCTGGCTTACAGTGTGAATCTGTCCTCTGCAGGAGGTAATTTCAGGGAAGTGTAATGATCAGACCCGCGTAAGGCGTGCTCTCACCAAATGTATGCAGCTCCACACCATCCCCTCGCCACCCCCAACGAGCGTTTCTGCGTATGGAGGGTATCGAGTCGGTTAAGCCATTAGAGCCACTACATTACACTATGTATCTTGCTTTATTGCCTTTTTATACCAGTGTTACACAAACGCATGTATTGGTTCCTCACGCCACCGACGGCAGAACTGACTTGTAAGGGAGGCAGTGGGTCAGAGCATGTGGTATCTTGCCTTGAACTCGCAGACCTGGTCCTGAGGGAGGTGCATATCAGAACTGAGCTGTCTTTTTCTGCAGTTTAGCCTTCATGTATATAATATTGCCATTAATTCTACTGGGGGAGAAATTCCATCCAAAACTGTTGCCTACAGCTACCAAGCAATGAGTTAGGATTGTCTGTACAGTGTGTTTAGTTTTTATTTTTTAAGAAATCACAGATAGGGCATGTATATGAAATATAAATATATAAATACAATTTTGTATCAAAGTTTTGTAGTTTATGGCAAAACCTGGTTCTGTGGTAGCTAAGTGCAGTCCCTGTAAAGGAATGTTTGTGGCTCATGTAAATGTGTGAATGCATCAACAATTTGAAGTTTTTTGATATATTTGTGATATTTACCTGCCTTGAGCACTGCAATCTCTCACCCCCTTGGGAAAATCAATGGGAATGTTTGTTGTGAAACTCTTGTCTTCTGTTGCATTTTAAAGTTATTTCCTGTAATTTATTTTCAGTACATGATTAAAATCAGTTGTGTATATATGAAATGAAATCCGTGCTTATTTTTAAAAGATGTTCAAGTATGTATTCTACTACATAAACTATGTCAAATACTTATCCTGACAATTATATGAACAAATTGTCTATTGTACTTCATAGTTTTCTACTGAAGCTGGTGTTCCTCTCATGCTAGTCTCTGAAAGATGACATCTGTCTAGCTCCCTGCATAAGAAAACTTTCTGGTATTCTGAAGCACGCTTCTTGACTTGTGGAGTTGCTTGTCAGCTTCTGCCCTCCCAACAACTGTATCATTCTGAAATCTTGTTACTGGCTCTATTTTCACTCTTGACTTAAATCAGTATCAACTGTGTGGAGTGTAAAGGCAGCTAAATAATTAACTGCTGTAGTTTCAGCTGGAAATGACTGTGTGCAATAGCTGGGTTTTTTGCATTCCTAAATGGTAACAATTTCCATCGACATTTGAGCTTCATCAGTCTCCCCTCTCTTGAGCGAGGGAAATCACCTGTCTAGGACTAAAGCAATTGCACTGTGACTTTTGTACCATAAAGAACTGCTGGGGAGTGGTGGTTACCTACCCTCTGGAGGTGAGGGCTCAGCTCCAGGTGAATGATGCTGAAGATGAGGTAGGAATGTTGCATTTTATGGTATCTTCTCTCAAGCTGTACAGATTAAATACTGTTATTTAAACAATCTAATGCTTTGGTGATGAATCTCTTTATTAGTCAGATGACTTGACTTGCAGAGGGGGTTTGGAGGGCTATGCTTGCCCTTGCTTCTTGTGTTCTCCAGGAAGGTACGAGTCGGATCTGAGGCCGTGCAGTGATGGTGAGAGCAGAACTCTGTCCAGGATGTGGACAGTGAAGCTGGAAGGCTTTATCCGGACTGTCCTTCTAGTAGAGGACTGAAACAGGGTGTGTGTGCAGAGAGCTCCTCAACACTGGTGCCAAGAAGATGCAGAATTAATGCAAAAACCTGTCAGCTTTGTGGGAGGGATCAAAGGTAGGAAAAGGAAGGGGCTGAAGTGGCTTTTGGGAGGAGCAAGCATGGGAAATAGATGATTAAGGGGGTAAAAGGGGCTGGTGACGCAGCAACAGGTTGCTGGTGAGTGTTCTTACCTGGCTGTGCCTATCCTGTTTTCTCCGTTAACGCCATTCCTCACCCTCTCCCTGGGAGAGAGGACTCCATTCCGTGCGCATGGAGGTCCAAGTGCCAGCAACTGGCGTGGGGCCTTGGGTCACAGGGGCTGTACGGTTGGAGTGAGTGGGAAACGACTGCCGGCAACTGCCGAGTGAGGTGGTGGGTCAGTGTATGAGTACCGAGCCAGATCTAGCCAGCAAGTAGGATAAGGGGTCTGGGAGCCAGGTACTGAAGCAGCCCTAAGTCTGGGCTGGATAGACATCTATTTCTGCATGAGGCAACTGCAGGGACTGGGAGGTCCAGGCTAACACAGAGGGTCTGGGGGGGTCAACTGAGCCCCGTTTGTACATGTCTGTGTCCCTCTGTGGGCAGCAACCAGAAACAAGAGAGGCTTGAAGGGCCCGTTACAGGTTAGGCTCGTGTCTGTGTGTGCGAGGGTGGGCTATGGCCATGTGCCAGCTACTGGAGCAGACTGCTGACCCAGAGGCCAGCTCAGATGAACAGATCCTCCTTGCCCAGTTACTGGAGGGTCCACAGCTTGTCTGCGCGTGTTTATTTCCCACTGACAGACCTTCATCCTGCTCAGCCGGAGAGGGACCGGATGAGGGTATCGATGCTGGTTGTGCCAGTGCTGAATGCTGATGTGCACGGGTAGCGTGAGCACATTGTGTGCGTGTGCACACACTTACTGGGAGTGCTGGCTTAGCCTTGCTGCTGCTTGTACGTGGGGGCATGAAGCTGTAGCAGCCTTACTTTTATTGGGCAACCCCTTACAAACAGTGTTCTTAGGAAAATACGGTTAGTATTTCTCAGCTTTTGCCCACGTACTGTTAAGAACATCAGGATTGTGCAGTGTGGGTACAGGGGACCAGAGGAACTCCACCAGTGAAATACATGGGGGCATAAAGACGATAGATGCTCGCTTTCTCTGCCCAGGGCTACTCTGCTACTGACTCAGGAAAGGAGCTCTGAGAGCTGTTCCAGTTCTGTGCAAACTGGTGGTGTACTGAGGCCCTGCTTCACCCATCCTCCCTGAGCAAGCAAAAACCAATTTAACAGGAGGTGTAGCGTAAAACATGGTAACTTACCCCACACCAGTATAGCTCTGGTCGACACTTGCCTCAGGATACAGCAGAGCAAGGTAGGAACGCCAGATGGAAGATCCTACAGCTGGCAAAGCAGAGCCTAATGCTGTGGGCAGACCGGGGAGGAGAGGTGACTGGGAAGACGGAACAAGCTACAGCATCAGGAAGGGGTGGAGAAGGCGACAAGATAAGAAAGCCTTGCTCTCTGTTACTTCAGGAAATGCTGATTAGAATGTATTTATCCAGCTGGCATCAAGTTAACGAGGCACTCACCCTCACAAGTGCCTGCTCAAGTCCCTGGGTTCTTTGGGAGGGGAAATGCTCACCTGGAGCAACAAGTGATACGATTTCTGGCTCTGGGAAGACATAAACAACACAGAATTTCTTTTCTGGCTATCTTGTAACTCAGTTTTCTCAGAGCAGGCTCAGGCCAGGCCACAGATTTTTCCTGTAGATGGCTGATCCTTAGAGTCACATCAAGGAAACTCAGTACATCAGGTAGCATGGCACAGCGTTAAAGAAAGGGTGGAGAAGAGGAAGCCCTCTATTTTATGAACCTAGATATACCAAGTGAACAATGTTTTTTCAATTGTGCTAGCCAATTATGGCAGTATCTCAAAACTTTCTGCCTGTTACTATCTTAGGTTAAAGTAATTAAGCACAGGTTATGGTAAAACTTCCTTTTTTTTATTGAAAAACATGGGTGGGAGTAAAGACATTATTTACACAATTTCCAGGTGCAGCTCAAGACAAGAACATATGACCAGCAATATGATAAAAGGATGTGGGTCCGATACAGAATTATGGAGGTTACTAAAATAGCACAACTTCCTGGTAAACATGGACCTTCAGATAAGATCAGCAACTGAAATGAGAGAAAATGAGAGAATGTAAAACAAAACATCTGGTATTTCTCTTTCAGGCACAGCACACCAGTTCCTGACTGGAGGAGGGCAGCAGCCTCGTGGGGGCTGGCCTGCACTCACCATTCATGGGCATCTCGTCTATCTGGGTGGAGTAGTACTGCTCGATGTCTCGCAGGATGCGGATGTCGTCATTCTTCACAAAGTTGATCGCTACACCTTTTCGGCCGTATCTGCCTGACCGACCAATTCTGTGGAGGCAGAAGGCAAGTGCGAATGGAACCACCTTGGGGCAGGTAAGGCAGCCACACTCCCCCAAGCAGAGCCCACGCTTACCTGTGTATGTAGAGCTCTCTGTTGTTGGGTAAGTCGTAGTTAATGATCAGGGACACCTGAGGCACATCCAGGCCTCTAGCCCAAACATCTGTTGAAATAAGGACTCGGCTGCAAAGAGAAGGGGACAGTTACAGCTGTTCCACCTGACCGAGGTCAGTGTGAGAGCTGGGAAGTCGTTATCCCCAGCACAGGGCATCCCCTGCTATTCTGTGCTCCTCCCCGCCCACAGCACACTGGCAGCATCCACACTTTTGCTGCAAGGAAAGCTGTCCCAGGCAGCATTGCCAAACTTCAGTGAAGACAGATGGTACCGAGACAGCTTTGATCTTTCAGAAAGAGTATGACACTAAGAATTTAAATGCAGAGACAGAGCCCAAGTATTTTTCGTCCTTGAGTTATTTCAAATGCAGCAACTCCCAACCTCTTCAGCAAAATAAAAGAGACTAATTCTACGCCTAGAAGTCTGCCACTTTCCAAGGAGGGATGCTCAGTCTCCCAACCCTGTGATAGGGGTTGATGGGAATCAGAGCTCTTCCTAATTTAAGCTGAACAAGCCCTTCAGAGAGGAGAGGTATTAGGGGTTTCTGAGGGCCGTTCCCTTCAGGTGCTAGAAGCAATCCTGCCCTGAGGTAGCAAAGCTATAAGCAACGTTGTTTAAGGCACTTACCTTGCGCCAGATCTGAACTCTTTCATGATGGACTCTCGCTCCTTTTGTGGCATGTCCCCATGCATGGATGAAACTGTGAAGTTGGCTTCTCTCATCTTCTCTGTGAGCCAGTCTACCTGTGCACACAGCCAAGCAGCCTGGATTAGCTCTTTGCTCAGGACAGCCGAATGCACTGGTTGTGCTTGGAGAATGTTTGCAGAGACATAAGCTGGTAAGGACTGAGAGACACTTTAACAAGCATTCTAGAGCTAAAGGAAGTAAATAATCCTTACAAAGCATCGGTGATATGATACAGGGCTCCTCGAGCCCTGAAAGGAAAGGAATTAAGGGCATTTATTCAGAAATTGTGGTTTTGTTTCAGGGATGATAAGCAATTAGAAGAATAAGCACATTCTTTCTTAATCAGTTCTACTCCTCTAAAAAGGCAATTCCTGCCAACTGTATCAGGTCTGCCTATAACCAGTTGTTGAAGATAGGCACATCCCAAAGACAAACATTTAACCTCTGTTCTTACTAAGCTATTCCCAAATGGGGAAACAACCAGACCTCGTAACTGGGCTTGTCCCAGCATTCTCCTCTGAGTCACCCTCAGAAAGTTACATGCCCATCTGATGACTGCTGTACCTTTCTCTTGGTGTTACAGAAGATGACAGCCTGGGTGATTGTGAGCGTGTCGTAGAGATCGCACAAGGTGTCAAACTTCCATTCTTCCCTCTCCACAGCCACAAAAAACTGCTTGATGCCTTCGAGGGTCAACTCATCACTGTAGGGAAGAACAACAGCCACACCACAAGTAGGTGAATACATACAACGCAGTTAGAAGGACTGGGTGTGCTTCAGCAGGGATCACACCTCTGCCCTGTGTGCTGTGGGTCGCTGAGTCTATACACAAGTCCAAGTTGTTCTAGAAAGTCCCTGGAGAAGTCTGCTCTAAGACCTGCTCAAACTAAAAAGGTTCAAGCTAAGACTAAGAAGCCTGCTTGAACGTGACCTGTGCAACAGAGACTAGAACTGGGGCACCCTCTCTGCTCTAGACAAGACAGGTTCAAAGGGAAACATTTCTGTTCCCATCCTTCTAACATTCAAGCTTCTTGACAAGAGAGACTGAAGAAAGGTAAATGGGGCAGTGTAAGAGATCAGGCAAGAGGGAGGCTCCTCCTGTGAGGCTGCCTACGCTTACTCTTCTTGACTCCTGGTGAGTTCCAGCACCTGAGGACCTGTGACACCACCAGACATAAGCTACACCTCCAAAGGCATTCAGGATCGGTCAGCTAAAGGCTTTTCTGGTTTGCTATGTAATAGCAAACTAATGGAGGAGGCCTACACAAATCCTCTGGAGGAGCACAGGCATCGGGTAGGTGTGAAAGATGGATTTCCAGGAGGGGAGACTGCTATACATGGGGAGGATGAGGGGGCAGTCAGGCTGAGCAGCAGCAAACAGAACTGGACAAGGTCAGAGAGAGGAGTCGGCCTCTGCTGGAAAACCGGACATGAGGATGTCTGCAAACACCTAAGCAAACTGCAACGGTGAGAGGGAATGAGAGAGAGACTCCACACATTTAAATCCGTTAATACTGTCATCTGCCTAGGGCTGAGCCAACTCAAAAAGCTCCTATTCTTTCCAAGGAAACTGACTCACCGTTTCACCAAGATGCGAATGGGGTCTGTCATGAATTTGTTGGTCATCTCCAGAATTTCGTGAGGCAAAGTGGCGCTGATCAGAACCACCTGTGTAGCTGGAGGCAAATATCTGTACACATCATAAATCTGCTCCTTAAAACCTGAAAGGCAAAGTAAGTAGCACAGCACAGTCAGCACACCTTTCTCCCAAATACCCTGCTCTTTCACAATTAGATTTGGAATTCAGTACTGGGCCTATGCTATGAGATGAACATTAAGGAGTGAATCAGTAACTCAAAGACAGTGTCACAGATTGCTCATCCCTTCCTCATTTTCTCAAACTCACTACAACGTGGCCATGGTACACAGTAAAGTATGAAAGGCAGTGCTCAAGCACACTACAACTAAATCAGACACGGCATATTAAGTAGCTTAACGTGTTGCAGCCTATAATTAATATAATCATCTCACTTTGGCAAAATTAATTGTTTTTAGAAGCAGGACCGCTGGCTGGGACACGCTGGAATCTCAAAGAGGTGAGAGGAAAGGAAGTAAAAGGGAGACAGGCATATTACCTTTATTGAGCATTTCATCTGCTTCATCCAAAACCAGCATTTTGATGGCACGAGTCCTTAAACTTCGACGACGAATCATATCTGTAAGATTTCACTTTGTAAGATGAAAAGGCTCTGAAAGCAAGCGAGCCTACACTGCTCCCAGCCACTGTCAGGGTATTTCGCTGGAGGGACAGGCACTTCCTCTGTTGCCAACAGAGACTGGCGTTTGGTGATGGAAGGCACACTCAAGGGCCACAGCGTGCCCACTGCTCCCTGCAACCTCAGGGGATGTTCCTGCAGCCCGGCTAAGGGAGCACCGACTGCAGGGAAGCTCTGAGAGGCTGAGCCGTGGGCTGCTGTCTGCTAACTGCACTGGACAGATGACCCACAGTAACTGTAGCTGGATGTGAGAAATGCAGAATGATATACATGAACTTTTTGTCAATAAACTGGGCAAATCCACATCCTATTTGAAAGAGCACATGGCTTTGTGTAACCCCTTACCACCGCAGCAGAAAAGTGTTTGCTATTAGTGCTGTTCAACGCCAGCCCAGTTCCGCAGCTGCTCTTTTTTTTTTTTGCATTTGTGGAGACTAGCTCTATGTTCTCCCAGTTAGAGGTGCTTGTGTAAGAAAGTACTGCCTGTTTCTGAGAGATCCAGAAGATGTGAGCTTGAAGGCTAATGCTATTACTATGGTAACTACCATGAACAGTAAATATAAAATTCTTTATGCAATGAAACCAGAAAGTACCAGCTGCAAGTGCACCTGATTTAACAAAGAAGAGAGCGATAGCCAGTACACAGAAAATGGGGACCTAACTTTGACATTCAAGTAGACCCAGCTCCTATCTCCTCCAAGACCCTGAAGTTATTTCCTGGGATTGTAATATTTTGTCCTTAAAAAATGCTCTTGGTTCCCATGCCACCATATAGAAAAACAATTCAACAAAGAAAAGCAAAATATAAACAAAGGAAATCTAAATGCTATCCCCATTGATTTCTCTCTAGTCTTTTCCAGACACGACTACAGTTAGGTTGTTACCTTGTTATACTTCACATTAATGTTACACTAACGGTGTCACAGTAAATGTTATTTTCATGCTATTTCAAATCTAAGTGCACAGAAGTTGCAGGAGGTTCTCGTGGCTCAACTCAGGTCTGAAGCTGGAGGTGATGCAGCCTCTCACATCTCCTTACCAAACACACGGCCTGGAGTGCCAGCAACAACATGCTGCCCATAATCCAGTTTTCGGATATCTTCACCCACGTTGGTCCCTCCAATGCAGGCGTGACACTGGACATTCATGTAGTCTCCCAGAGCAAGAAGACCCTGTGTTGATACAAAGGAATGGCTTAATAACTGAGCTCTCATGAAGTTTGTATTTGTGAAGAGATGCAGGTCTGCACAGTGTTTTTTTTTTAAAGAGATGTAAACATAAGCAGTTAAGAGGGATTTTTTTAACGTCTGTTACCCAAACCTCCTCAACACCAGGCTTTCAAACACTGGGAACTCGGTTCCCCCGGGATCAAAACTGCTTTAAAAGTGCCGTCCTTAAAAATTCAGTTAGGAATGTGTAAAACCTTAGACTGCTAACCAATGTGGTCAAGTAAGCAAAACAGCCCTTTACTGGAACTGCTTATTCCTCTCAGGAACAGAAAGAAAAAGCAGCAGCTGTGCTTTGAGCTCTGCTGGGGAACAGCTGAGAATCGGCCCTAGACCTTGCGAGTGCCTTACAGATGGTGATTTAAATGCTCCTACCTTCTGAATCTGTACAGCCAGCTCCCGAGTTGGTGCCAAGATCAATGCCTGGGTCTCACGAACCTGATTAAAACAGGTGATCACATGGCAGTTAACCACAAAGCAGATAATCCAAGCATAACAGAGATTATGGATCCCACAGTACCCTGAAATGTCACATCTGAAAGACCAATCATAGAATTTTGTCCTCAAATCTGGTGTTTGGAAGGGTCAGCACACCTAGAAGGCTGCCCTCACACAGAGGATTTACACAGTAACTGCCTGTTAATTAAGTTACTTTGGAAAAGACAGCACTTAAGCAGTTCCTTGATAGCTCATTTTTAATTCCAACCTAGTTTCTGAAAACAATTGTAAAAATGTGTACTTTTCTTGTAAAAGAATAGAAACAAATTTACATCACTGCAGTTCTGTATCTTCAGATAAAAACCTTGCACTGCACAAGGATTTTGAGGTAACGTTTTAAAGTGTCACATTTGAAAAATATTATGAGCACTTTACAGAAATGAAGCAAAAAGCTGACATTTTCATTTAGAACATGCAACATTTATTTTTATGTCCCCTGGCAGTGACAGGTGAATAACAATTTAAGCTTTATTTAAGAGGGTACCGGCCCACAGAAAATCATCATTTTATTCAACAGCATCTACACATTCAAGTTATACTTAAAAATCTGGACAGACACGATACCCTTCACTAGTACAAAAGCAAACATTTGTCAGTCAAAAATATAGGTTTGATTCTGTGCAATGTGCATCAACTCTTCAGACAGGTTGCTGATGCTGTCAGGACTGTCTGAGGACAATTCTGCCTGCTGAAAGATTAATTTAGCCCTCTAATATGTGAAAGAGGGCAGCTGTTAAAGCCAACTTTATAATTGCAAGACTTTATCTGAACTTATTTTGCCAGGGTGGCTTTAACAGTTAAATTGTTACAGAGTAGAGTCTAGTGAAATCTTCAGTCAGAAACTTGTCTGAAGCTCACTGCCCATAATTAAAAGATTTCAATGTAAAGCTTCACTTATTCACGCTAAAAACAAACATGTTTATGATGAAGACTAAACCAATTCAGCCAAAAATAATTTTTAGCATGTGGCATGAGATTACCTGTATATCCAGGCACTGCAGAACAGAGATGGAAAACGTTGCTGTCTTCCCTGTTCCTGACTGTGACCTGAGAAACAGATGTCTGGTGAATACCCTGGATGTCTGGACATATATAGGCAATTTCAATATATTCCACCCCTCTGCTCTTTGCTATTCCTTCACTGCAAAGAAGTCAGTATTGCCAACAGTGTATCTGACAAAGTTTTGTTACGATCACAGTGTCATCTGCAGACAAACAGTTTTGAGAACTGCAATATCAGGGATACAGCACTCTGTTGCAGGGTCTCCAGCTCTGGCATGTTTACTCCTTATCAGATCAGCATTTTAACTTTCTGCAATTTGTCATACATGACTTTTTTTTCTTTTAAAGTACATGGTAGGTAAGCCAATACGATTTGGATGGCTAGCAATTCCCACTAGTGACCCAGGAAGGATTTTTTTTCAGTGGGATGCATATTCTTCTTTGTCTCTAGAGACACAATAAATTTCCTTCTGCTTACTTTTTCCCTTGATTGAGACTGTAGTTGTTTCTCTGTTTTCCAGCAAAGTCAGAGAAATATTGGCATGAGTCTCAGAGCCCTATGCATTAAGACATAATATCTTGGCTGGATCTTTACCACAGTGACATAACTAAGCCTCATAAACTTTGACGCTAACAACTGCTGGCATCACAGCCCATGTGCAAGTTAGCCAGTTTCACCCCGTATCACTCATGCCGTAATGTCCTTAACGCTGCCGTGCAGCAGCCCAGGACCACGGGTGACAGACCTCGCTTCCAGCTTAAAGGCATCGAGTGAGACCGACACCCCCTCGGGGCCCAGGGCCTCCCCACCCGCGAGCAGCCCGCGCCCTCGCCGGCAGCCCCACTCACTGGGCGATCACGTCTCTCCCCTTGATGATCTGCTTGATGGCTCTCTGCT